TTACATCTGAGATGTTCTGCCAGCGACTCAGAGAGGTAGATATATGTCAGACAGCCACAGAATACACTGGACATAATGGCAACCTAAGCAGCCACATGCAGCATCACACACACATGTAGTAGCTAGTATATTGCTTAGCTGCCATTGTAATACACATACATGCGTATACACCACATGTATTAGTTCAGGAGCAGCTATAGAACTGTACATAACATTTAGCCAAAGTGCAGGGGTAGAAATTAACTTTTGAACGAGGGAGTCCAACGTCCCTACCCTCAAAAAGAGGGAGTCCGCAGTCTGAGGTTCAAAATTAAAGATATTAACAATAATGTGCGTAATGTTTAAGATTCTTAATGCTTTAATGTGCTTATTTTTAAGATTTATGCAGTTGCACATCTGCAAAATTTTCTTTGGAAATTAGCTGAAATAATACAGTAATTCTGCGACGCCGTGCTCCGGAGCGAACTAGTTAGTATGGCAGAATTTTCAGGGAGTCACACGGGCTCCTGCATATGTCAAATCAGGGAGTCCGACAGTAAATCAGGGAGTCCGACAGTAAATCAGGAAGTCCGACAGTAAATCAGGGAGTCCGACAGTAAATCAGGGAGTATTTGACTCCGGACTCCCGTTAATTTCGCACCCTGAAAGTGTACTACATACTTAGAAGTGGCATGTAGTAGCTACGTTATCATGCAGCTATAGCAATAACTGTAGTTACTGGTTGATCTAAAGAAAGTCATAGCAATGGTCGCAACTGTTTCATGCATACCCTCCCTAAGATATATGGTACTTTTTTCAGACAGTTGGCCTGATTCTTGGTGTGTGTGTATTGCAACAGCTGTTTAGAAGTTCACCACAAGTGCAGTGTGGTGCAGTCAATTTCAAAAAGATTATACAGTTGTTAATATAGAAAAGATCCAGGCATGCATTAGGACATAGAGACCATAGGGCATTGTACCGAGTACATGCGAACTTAGCGTCGTATTTGCTGCAAGTATTTATTATTGGAAATGTGCCAGCTTATATGCAAAATCCCTCATTCAATATGGTCTCGCCCCCTGTCGGGCATATTTGTAACAAACGGATGTGTAAACACGTATAACAGACTGGATAACATCAGGAGTTAATAAAGACAAATTATTTGTCTTTATTGACTCCTGATAACATCAATGTTTTTTGATCGTATAATAGTATGCATGTGGCAGGTGACAGAAGAGGAGAGCAGGAAGTTTAAGGACAATCTAACAAAGGTCGTTGCGGGACCATGGAGCACTACATGCGTGCGTGGTGTCACACACTTTGACCTGAGTCACGATGACATCGATAGAGCACTCCGCAAGTTCGAGTATGTTATCAAGGAATTCTCAGATTCCCTGTAGTTGTGCGATTGCTGTTCAAGTAATTATGCTACCTGTATATTACGTCTATATCGCCGAGTGTGAAGTGATAGGCATTCGAGATTCATAGGTATGAAGTGCAATGGGCCTGAATATGCTGGCATTATTGCGTCTAGTTTTCTCATGAATTTCTACAGCCGTGAGGCACACACTTGGATTTTCACCACATAGGCATGCGACTCTGTGATTATTAAACCACTAATGCTTAAGCAACCATCATTGAAGTCAGTAATCGGATATGTACATCCACAGAAGTATACTGTGCATTTGATGCTTTTAGTGTAGGCTTTAGCATTGCATGCCGGCGTGCTGTGCATATCCACACCTGACTACTTCTCAACAATGATGAGCATTATTTCATTCAGATAGGTCTAATCATCTGAACCATTGTTTGTCGCAAGCGGTTTCATGTGCAGTATCATAACTAACCTTGTGTGAACTTTTCAAACACCACCTCTTGCTTGTTGTGAAGTAAATCATATATTATAGAGATTAATATAATTTGATATAGATCAGGAGTAGATAATAGGGAAGGAGTGTGACATCAATAAACAAGGGAAATTCGTCATTTACTAGCCTTATAATACCTACGATTTACTAAGCGTAACTCATCCAACTTGAGCTCAAATCGGACACAGTACATCCAGACATACCATCGTGCGAAATCCATTCCTCGTATACACCCGCAATCCGGAGATACAGACTAAAACTTACGACCCGTTTTTCAATTTATTGGCCATCAATCCAAATCCACTGCCCGCCTCTATTCAAACAAAAGGCAGCTACTAACCACACTGTCCACGGCTTCCGCTCACGGCGAGGCGCTGTGGCTCGCAGGGTGATTAGGCATCAACGCAACACTCGGCGAGATAACCTGTGACCCGGTACAATGTATGCCTGTATGTCATACCGGCATGCCGGCAATACAGCTGGCATGCCCCCATACCATGCACGCAGGCCAATCAGCTATCAGCAGAAGATCGGATTCAAATCTCCCTGCGAGCCACAGCGCCTCGCCGTGAGCGCAAGCCGTGGACAGTGTGGTTAATAGCTGCCTTTTGTTTGAATAGAGGCGGGCAGTGGATTTGGATTGATGGCCAAAGAATTGAAAATCGTGTCGTACGTTTTAGTCTGTGTCTCCGGATTGCGGGTGTGCTCCTGGATTAAATGTACTGTGTCCGATTTGAGCTCAAGTTGGATGAGTTACGCGTAGTAAATCGTAGGTATTATAAAGCTAATAAAAAAAAAAAATTCCTTCTTTTTTTTTTTTTATTAGCTTTAT